GAAAATACTTTTAAATTCCTTCAATAACCTAATTATTTCATATTTAATATGAAACTGAAGTCTTGTAAAATATTTAAAAATAAAAGACTGAACCATTCCAGCAAATCCAACAAATTGAGATACATTACTTTACCTACAACTACAACTGAAATGAATTTATCTAAGATTAACATAAGATTTGTTACAACTACTTCTAAAACAATGAAACTTCATACAAAACAAATTAAGCTAAAACTTAAAGGGAGAATTTACTCTATCACCTGTCATAATTCTCACAAGGAATACAGAGGGGGAACCTCTAGAAATTTTTCATAAAATATTATATGAGCACAAAAGAGATTTCTTACAAAACAACACATTCAATGCATTATTTGCTTATTGTAATCAGTCTGACTGACCATAAATTTGATTTAAAAAATGCTGCTTTAATTAAAAGAGAAAGCAATTTACTAAAGTAAAAGTGTATAGAAAGTGCTTTAATTACTGGATCATCTGTGTTAAATTTGAGTCCAGGTTCTTACAACATTTCACATTTCTTGACAGATTTTCTAATGTTAAAAACAAAACAAATAAACTGAAGGAAATCAGCTAGATTATATGTCCAGACATGTCGACAAAAACAAAAAAAACATTTTTAATTTAAAAATCTGAAATTACAGTTTTTCAACATCTTTAGCATTTCCTATTAGTGCATAATTATAATTAACACTTGTGTTTTATATCTCCTCCTCTCCTTCATACACATATATAATTCCATAAAAAAAAAAAAACATTATTTTAAGTCTGATGAAGACCTTCTGGAAATTTTTCACTTTGTCATTCATTTGTCTAATTTATACATACACACACATATATATATATATATATATATATATATATATATATATATATATATATATATATATATTATAGTTATATATATGCGTGTGTGTGTGTGTGTGCAAATATTCACCATAAACCACCCCAAAAAAGAATTAAATGCAAATATAAAATATGGCGACTTCAAGGGAGGCTACTCTCAAAAAATATTTATCAGTTACCTCCCTTGAACTAATATCTTAGAATGGCGAATAGATTTATTTTTCTTTAGGCAGAATTGTCTCTGGCATTTAAAACTTTTTTCATTTACTTTTCATACTTAAATATATTAGGAATTTTTTTTAAAAATATTGTCAAGCTTAATGTATTTCTTCATAATTTCTTCATTAATTGTTCTATTGGTTCTACTTAAAAATATGCTATTTTTTTTAGCTAACCGAAGTTCCACTTCGTACTTATGCCACATTCTGTGCAGAGTCGGTGTACTACTTCCTGTTTTTTAGATGAAATATTTTCATTGATAATCTTGAGTAGTTATCATTCTCTTTATCATTCTTGCTTTTTAATGCAGCACTTAAGTTGTTTTACATTTGACACCTGTTTATAAATACGAAAAGTTAAATAAAAATAATTAAAGTGAATTATTTATTATTTATCTATATTTTTTGGTGTTGAAGTTAATCAATGCTATCGTCAGTTTTGTATAGCAATTATCAGACACAGAAACGAGATGTTGCAGATTTGATTCAACTCACAACAAAGAAAAATACAAAAAATGTGTTTAAATATAAAAACTTAAGACATTTTTATTTTAGTGTTTTTTACAACTAAATTTTTCTTAGTGTGCATTAAAGTTCTTACAGTTTTGATTGTAGTTGTTTGTTAGGATGAAAAGAAATGTTATTTTTTCGTGTGTATGTGTGAGGAAGAAGAAGCAAAGAAAAAAGAAAGTGAGAAGGAAAGTGTAAGTGTCACATAATGAGGGAGACAGGTAAATGAGTAAGGAAATTTTTTTTAAGCCTGGTGTTGTGAACTGTTGCCGTATGTTGCCATCTGTCATTTCTTCCTCTGGTTTGTCTAGAAACTTTGTTTAAATTCCTTTCAAAGGGATCACAAAGCATATTTTTTTATTGTTGGTACGAGTGTGACCCATTAGGTGAAAAATGTTAAATATTTATCTTCAAAGGATTAATTTATTAACCAGAAGGATACAGGGTATCCTGTGACTCAGAAACAATTTTTTTGTCATTTGATGATTGACAGTTTTGGTGTTTATTTCGGTCTTTGCTCCACACTAGAATCAGCAAAACAAGTTAAAATTCAAGTCTAGCTTATCACTTTCAGGCTCACACAAATGTCCTTGACCAAGGTATATATCCATCTTTTTTCCTCCCAGCTATGGGTTAAATAGCAAGGTTGGCTTCCCTCTCAAGCCTTAGATGGAAACCGGTCTAAGAAAATGAAAACTCTGAATAAAAAACCAAGGAGAAGGAAATGGAAAAATCACTCAAATATCTTTCTCAAGAATATGTGTTATAATGAAGAAAAGGAATCCTTGATCACCTGTATCCTGAAGGGACATGGCATTTAAATTGATTAATTGAGACTTTCAGAAAATAAACTGAATTTCTTCCTTAAGAGATCATCATAAAATGCATGGAAGCTAAAATATTTTATTGAATTAGAGAGATGATGATGATGATGATGATGATGATAGTGGTAGTGGTGGTGCTAGTGATCTCGGTGTTATTTTGTCTGTTCCTTGCCATGTTCAAATATTACAGTTTCATTAATTGTTATAACCTAGAAAAGGTTACTGAATAGAATAATCAAATGAAGGTTGGTAATGAACGATAATACTTAGGACAAGAACAACATATACAAAATATGTATTTTTTGTGAAATTCAGTGAGGTAGTATTGTCTTTGAGTAGCTTCTGTAGTTGCTGATCTTTAAGCTGCTCCTTCACAAATTCTGTTAAATTCTGAGGTAAATTGTAGCAAGTAGTCCAGATGTCACACTTCCATTGGAGAATACTTCTCTGAGTTTAAGTGGAATGCACCAACAAGTGGTTTGTGGTCCATGAAAACATAAAAGCGTCTTCCTTCCAGAAAATGTTTGAAGTGATGAACGGCTGCATAAGCAGCATATAATTTTCTTCCAAATGTGCTGAATCTACGTTGGGTATTGGTTAGCTTTTTGGAAAAAAAATGAAATAGGTTTCCAAGAACCATACACTTTTTGTTGCAATAATGCTGCCACCCCAACAGAACAGGCCTACCAACACCTGCTGTTACTGCGACCTATCTCGACTTGTTTAAAAGGCATTCCCTTTACAGTCAACACCAGTGACTTCTGTTCCACAGAACAGGATAAACACCCCTGCTGTCACCATGGCTTACTTTGACTCATTTACAATACATTCCCTTCACAGTCGACACCAGCAACCTCTGTTTCACAGAACAGGCCTACCAACACCTGCTGTTGCCTTGACCTACCTCGACTTGTTTACAAGGCATTCTCTTCACAGTCAACACCAGTGACTCCATTCCGCAAAACAGGCCTATCATCATTGCCTCGGCCTACCTTGACTCATTTACAATGCATTCCCTTCACAGTCAAAACCAGCAACCTTCATTCCACAGAACAGGTCTACCACCTGCCATCACATTGGGGTCACCAATTTATTGTTCTAATCCTTTTACTTTGGGACTGACATAAATAAGAATACTTTATCAATATGTAATAAAGATATTTATTTACACCTAAACATGAATACAGCAGTTAACATAAACACAATGTCCTTTCCTATATATAGAGAATATGTCAGGTGGAATTACCCATTTGGTGGAGTGAAATAGGGCTACATAGCTTGAATTTTAAAAACCCTCAGCATCTGGTACTGTGAGCTTACCAATCTGGTGAGTGTAATAGGGTTAGGTAGCTTGTACCTTTAAAACCCTCAGCAACTAGTACTGTGGCAGCGGAGAGAATTTCTTGTTTGTTACTTCAGAGCTTGTCTGGTCCCTTCTCTGGTAGTAGTTAGCTTTTTCTGAACCCACACGATTTTACAAAATTGTCAATGAGAGACCGCCAAACATCATGTGACCAATCTCTCTATATAGGAGCAGATGAATTTTACAAACCCAACAAGGTCATCCAAGGTGTAACCAGAGTTGATCTGAGCACTTTCCATAGTAGCAGCAATAGAGCAACAAGAGGCTCACCATATCCCACCTGTGTTAGATGTTGGATTCTCAAAAATAGTTCTCCTCAGACTGGAAAGTGAGTTCTGGGCAGCTCCTGCCAAGATATGACAATACTCTATTTTTGGTCTGATCTGGCTCTTTCACCATTCTATGTAAACATAACAGGATGTCATCTTTGATGGTGAATATCTCTGTTGTAATATCCATATAACCACACTGATGATGGCTCATGTGATCCAAAAGCTTAGATCAAGGAACGGCATAAAAAAAATCCAAATGTTGGACAGTTTGTGTCTTTATATTCTCCCAAAACTAAAGCCACTATATGAAGCTTAGAACAGCTTATGATCAAACATAATAGACATTAGCTGTCTGTTATATTTAACAATATATGTTTAAATAATGATCTGCTGCTCCAATGTGTGTGTGTGTATTGGGTGAAAGCTATGGTAGAAAGGTTTATTCTCCCAATTGTAATTCCCCCATTATGAGCATTATTATATCCATGATATAATAACACCATATTTCACAGATAGAATAGAATGGCTGAAAGGAAAAAGAATGACAAATATGCTTTGTTCTCTGAGAAACTTTTATACTACTAAGACATACACAAATCTCTCTCTATGTATATACATATATACATATGTGTTCCTTGCAGAGAATAATATATCACATATATCTACACAGTAAAGCAGAATGTAAAGAGAAAGAAAAAGGAAGGATGTTACATATAATATGGAGATACTCCAATCTCTAGAGTAGCCATATTTAGGACTCCAGATTCAAACAGGCTGGATTCATCTATGTTCCAGGTGAGGACATATTTCACAAACAGGAAATGGCGAGTCTTGGGTTTTCCCAAATTGAGGACTGTGAGTTGGAGCTTCATTCAATATCTGGGAAGGATATATGCCCAAAGGGAAATGTCGGCATGGATTTGTAAGCTACCGAGGGACACAGATTTAGCCTCAACCTGGACCCTTTCACTCATGTTAAAAGAAAGCAATCTCTCTTGGTGGCTGCTGTAAACAAACTAAAATTGACTGCTACTTTTGTTACTGTATAGAGAGATGACATTCAGTGGTCATCACATGATTCATGTGACTTAACTCCACCAAATAGAGATAAGTGTCTGCCATATCCCTTTATATATGTGTGTGTGTGTGTGTGTGTGTGTGTGTGTGTGTGTGTGTGTGTGTGTTGTGTGTGTATGTGTGTTGTGTGTGTGTGTGTGTGTGTGCACATTAAATATATTATATGCATGATACCACCTTCTGTGGTGAAAGATATTTTATTCAATGTGTGTTGTTTATTTGATAAAATAATGTCTTCTTGGATTTTCAGTCTTTCCTTGCATTGTAGAGTATTTTGCTATTATTGATTAATATTTGTCTTATGTTGATACTTGTAGGTTGGTTGTTCATCATGTACCGATTAACATGTGTATGGGCTACACTAAGTTATTCAAATAAAAAAATACACATGGTTATGGTGCAGACTTGTTTCCATTAACCATTGCACACAATGTCACTGTAGACCAAGGATTCACAAACTTTTTTTGCATCATCATTCATTTTCACGTGAAAAAATGTTCCATCAGCCACCTGTATAATGAATATTTAAAAGTACACAGTAATAGGTAAATTATGTTTTGACAGGCACTTTTCCTGCCTTGATAAATTCAAATTGGCCAATATGCTAAAAAATTGTAAAGACAATTTTATATTAAATTTATTTTTATATTAAATTATCCTTTGGTTACTTTACTTTTATTGGCAACATTGGTATTGTTCTTCCCTTATCTGGTTTATATCTGAAAAAATGTTATTTCCCTTATAGAAAATACCAAAATATTTCTTGTTTGTTGGTTATGTATATCCTATCTAGGATTGTAACCCAGTTATTCCTGTTTTTTTTATATATAGATTCTTTGTATATTTGAATATTATTTTCACATTGTATATGTTGAAATACCTTTTAAATACTCAAAATCCTATAATGATCACCAAAATTTTCAGTCACCCATCATCTTCTATTCAGTTACTTATCACCCAGCCTACAGTTGAAATCACCCACTGGTCGGTGATATTGTCCAGATGGGAAACCTTGCTCTAGATTGTTTTAAAAAATGTCAGCTTTCAAATGTATATCAGGATATAGACAAAGGAATTCTGCCTGCCACATAGACACCACCTCAGTTCTTGAAAATGTCTGAGACAATCAAATGTACTTACCCAAACAACAATACAAACCTGAACTTTGGTCTGTCTATACAATTTTGATCCAAATATTGATCCCCTTATTTGAAAATTAGAAAAATACAAAAAAATTCAACAGACAGACCTTGCTGGTTCTTTATAATCAAAAGTGTTTGGATGAATATTTGCTGTTTAAATATACCTTCCATATATATGTATGCATGTATATATCGGATTGGCATCTACAGTGAAAAGCACGATAGTAGATTTTATAATATATAATTTATCTTTCTTTTCCTAAATTGTTTTATTGATTTTCACTTTCCTTTTTCTTTTTCAGTGAAACTTTATTATTTCTTCATCAAATATTCTTGAAAGGATTATCAGCACGTCTAGAAAATTGGCCAACTTTAGTTTTGGGTGAGTATTACCAAAAACAAAAGTCAATCCGTGAATCCTGACTCAATGCACAAATTATCAATAAATCCTATTTCAATCCTTACTCAAGCAACCAATTTCATCTAAAACTTGATTTAATCCACAAATCAAAAGTCAATCCATGAATCCTGACTCAATGGACAAATCATCATTCAATCTTACTTTAATCCTTACTCAAGTGTCTGATCTTATCTAAAACTTGATTTACTCCACAAATCAAAAATCAGTCCTAAAACTTGACTCAATGAACAAATTATCATTCAATCCTATTTCAATCATTACTCAAGCAACTGATCTCATCTAAAACTTGATTTGATCCACAAATCAAAAATCAGTCTCTAAATCCTGCCTCAATGGACAAATTATCATTCAATCCTTACTCAAGCAACTGATCTCATCTAAAACTTGATTTAATCCACTATTCAAAAATCAGTTCATAAAACTTAACTCAATGCACAAATTATCATCCAATCCTATTTCAATCCTTACTCAAGCAACCGATCTCATCTAAAACTTGATTTAATCCCCAAATCAAAAATCAGTCCCTAAAACTTGACTCAATGTACAAATTATAATTCAATCCTATTTCAACCTTACTGAAGCAACTGATCTAATCTAAAACTTGATTTAATTCACCATTGAAAAATTGGTCCTGAAAACTTGACTCAATGCACAAATTATCATTCAATCCTATTTCAATCCTTACTCAAGCAACCGATCTCATCTAAAACTTGATTTAATCTGCAAATCAAAAATCAGTCCCTAAATCTTGACTCAATGCACAAATTGTCATTCAGTTTTATTTCAATCCTTACTTAATTGATTTCATCTAAACTTGATTTAATCCACAAATCAAAAATCAGTCCTTAAATCCTGACTTAATGCACAAATTCTAACTTAAAATGCAGACATCCCTTGATTAATGTGTTTTCAATTAGCACTTCAAAATTTTTACATACAGAAATTCAATTTGTGTATACATAATACTTGATTAGTGTTGTAAAACCTTTTTCCGTTTAGCCATAGTAAATGAAAATTGATTTTTTTATACTTACAAATGTACAAATTAGCCACACTGATCAAGGGATTTTTGTATATATAGAAAACTTTTCAGGGTAACCTATGAATAAATGATGAATCTGTATTTTTTTTGCATCTATTTGAATATTTTCTCCCTTGAAGAAATTATTTGAACCTTTTCTTCATTATCTGAAACTTTCAAAATGTGTTCATAGCTTAGAAGGAACATCAAATCTGATAAATTGTTTGAGTGTAAGCAAAGAGTGTGTAGAAATTGGGGGAAACACCTAATCAGTTGGTTTCCCACCAACTACAGGATTAATAGGCAGAGAGAGGAAAGAGGCGGCAACAATGACACTACCTCAGAAACCACAGCAACTTTAGGAATAAAGTGCTAACAAGACTGACTTCACAAGTCATCATGTCTTGCCAAGTAGGCTGACTGCAGGTTTTCTCATTGTTTTTATTAGCATGAGGCATCTTTCAAAGCCTTGGATCTTGACCAGTTGCAGAGAGGCCCATATCTAGATATGCCAAGCTGTACCACCACTAATGGGGAAAGCCTGGATATAACTGGTGTTGACAAACATATCCGTATGTGATCCAGGGCCTCTTTTTTGTATGCACTGGCATACATTCATCACGTTCTTCTGATCCATTAGTCCTTACAGCTTAGTTAACGTTAAGGTACTGTCCATGTGTAGATGAACTCACACAGGATGTAAACTGAAGTCTTGTCAGTGACTACACCATTATTCTCATTTCACCTTCCTTATTTTGATAGTCAAAGTGTACTTAATCTGGTATCTACATCTAAAAAGGCAATGTGTATCCATGTATGTACATATATAAATGCGTGTGTGTCTGTGTGAGAGAGAGACATTAGTTATCAGTGGATCTGTATGTAGTGGATTTTATTGCTAAAATGTTTGACTTAATAATCAAAATTATTTAACATTTTATTAGTAATATGTAAGAAATAGATTGATTAATATTATATAAGTAATATTTAGAATATGAATAGATTGTATGATATTAAATCAGTAATATTTAATGAATACATTGTTTAATATTATATATAATGAATAGATTATATAATGTAATAGAAGTAATATTTAATTAATAGATTAATATTATGGAAGAAATATTTACTGACTAGGTTTTTTAATATCATATAAGTAATATTTATTGAACAGATTGTTTATTGCATAATATCATATAAGTAATTTTTAAAGAATAGATTATTTTAATATTATATGAGTAATGCTTAATGAATATATTGTTTATTATATATTATATATAAGTAATAAATAGATTATATAATATTATATAATATTTAATGAATAGATTGTTTAATATTATATAAGTAATATATAAGTGATGCATTATTTAATATTATATAAGTAATATTTAATAAATGGTTTTATAATGTTATATAAGTAATATTTAATAAAAAAGATTGATTAATGTTATACAAGTAATGTTTAATGTATAGATTGTTTCATAGTATATAAGTAATATGCAATGAATACATTGTATAGTATTATATATATGTAATGAATAGGTTGTATAATTTTATATAAGTAATGTAAATTTTGTAATATATTTTGTAATATTATGCAAGTAGTATTTAAAGAATACATTGTATAATATTTTATATATGTAATGAAGAGATTGCATATTATAAAAGTAATGTTTAATGAATAAATTATCATTTGATTATGAAAATGTTCTGTGATTACTGAATAAAATCAAAACATACAATATTTTTCCTATTTTATAAGTACAATTTAATTAAATCATTGCTTCAATATGGCTGTCATTTTTTTGGTATGGCTTCATTAGTATCATGATATTAAACAGGATAATATGGTGACTAGAAACTGCTAAAAAAGTAAAGATTCTTTAAAATATATTTACTTCAATATCAGTTAACTAAGCAACTATATTTGGTCAATAAATATTTGATGTTTTAATTTTAATTTGAATATAAATAACTTTCTCTTGACCTCTTGGAAAAAAAAATAATTAACACTTTAATTTTGTTTTGAGGTTAAAATGTTTTATTCCATTCATTTAACAAGTGATATTTTCTTCTTTTTGTCTTCCCTAAATTTAGGTGACTTATTCGATATCTTACTGCCAATGTTGTGTATCTATCAAGAATATGTACGAAATCACCATTATAGTTTGCAAGTGTTGGCTGAATACAAGCAGAAAGCTGATTTTAACAATTTGCTCAAACGCTATGAAGAGAAACCATTATGTGAGGGAAGAAGTGTGGAAATATTCCTCACGCATCCTATGCATCAGGTAAGGTCAATTTTGTCTATCTTTGTAGATTATACACTTATGTACACTTATATGCAGTGTATAACATGATACAAGCACTACAATGAGAAATGATTATATGGAAGAAGTGTAAAAATAGTCTTCAGATACCTTATACATAAGGTAAGTACAATTTCATCTCTCAGTATAGACTATATATATTTGTACACTTATAAACGGTGTATAACCGGACACAAACACTGAAGAGAAATGGTTTGGGGAAGGAAGAAGTGTAGAAACATTAATCAAACATGATGTAAGTACAATTTTGTCTCTTAATATAGATGATACATTTATGTACACTTATACACAGTCTATAACTAAATACAAACACTATGAAGTGAAATTGTTATGTTGTGGAAGACAAGTTGAAACATTCCTCAAACTTATATAAGGGCAATTCCATCTCCTAATAAAGATTACATACTTATGTACACTTATAAATAGTGTATAACTTATGTACACTGATAAACAGTGTATAGCTGGATATAAATATCATGAAGAGAAATGATTGTCATGAAGAAGTGTAGAAATATTCCTCAAATTTACATGAAGACAATTTTGTTTCTTCATCTACATTTATGTATGAATATATACAAGTTTCTTGATCTATTAATTATATAATTATATTTTTTTGATCTAGATCATACACTTACGTATAATTTTATTCACGTTTCTTGATCTAGATTATACACTTATGTATAATTATATATATACATTTATATAATTATATATACACGTTTCTTGATCTAGATTATACACTTATGTTCCTTGATAATTCTATTATACATGTTTCTTGATCTAGAGTATACACTTACATATAATTATATACATATCTATTATATACATGTTCCTTGATCAAGATTATACATTTATGTATGAATATATACAAGTTTCTTGATCTAGATTATACACATATGTATAATTATATACATGTTTCTGATCAAGATAATTATATACGTTTCTTGATCAAGTGATCAAGATTATACATTTATGTATAATTATATACACGTTGATCTTGATCTATATAATTATACACTTTGATCTAGATTATACACTTATAATTATATACATGTTTCTTGATCAAGATTATACATTTATGTATAATATAATTTTTTGATCTGGATTATACACTTACATATTTATATACTTAATCTAGATTATACACTTACGTATAATTATATATGTTATGGTCCGTTCCTTGTACCAAGATTATACGTATGTGATAGTCCATAATTATATACATGTTTCTTGTCTAGAACCCATAAATACGTTACTTGATCAAGATTATACATTTATGAAAAACTCAAACACGGATATGGAATAACACAGATATTATATACAAACAGGAATATATACAGAAAAAGTAGAAAGTGTTGAACGGATATGGAATAACACAGATATATTACAAACAGGAATATTACAGAAAGTAGAAAGTTTAAAAGGGATTGTTAGTAGTACTGAACCTCTGACTACCTCTGACTGACTGACTGACTTCGCTCTGACTGACTGACAGGCTTCTGACGGACCTCCTTCCAGACTTCAGACTGAACAGTATTTATCCCCCCCCCCATGAGGGCATCATTTGGCACAAGGCCGGTTTAACGTAGCATCTCCGAGCCCGTGGGCTCGGCCAAAAATATGGCCTTTGAACACGTATAAACGGGTTCAGGTTCGGTTTACCTCCCCGAAAGAGACTCCGCCCTTCGGTGTAGCCTTGTTCGGGTTCCTCCCCGCCCGAAGGCAGAGAATTCAACCGATCAGCCGGTCAGCCGGTCGCCCGACTTCGGACTGAACTCCCTGCTTCCTCTTGAGGTGCAGTATTTATTACGTATGGAATAGTCCATTATGTTATTATGGGTAAGGTCCCATAACACCCCCCTTCCGAAAATTTTGTGTAGCAGTGTTTTTTTTAATATCTTTTTTCCTTTGGATCTATTTCCAAATGTTCAGTAAATTTTCTTTTTCTAGACGATTTTCTTGGTTCTGGCATTATTTGCGGTCTTGTTATATCGAACGTGTCGAAAATCGTGTCCAATACCTCTTCTTGAGGTGGACCGTTAGCATCCTGTAACAGTCTCTTCCTTATTTGGTTTACGTATCTTCTGTGTTAGAATTTTTTTCCCTTAAACTATGTACACCATGTTGCCAATTCTTTTCTCAATTATCCCTTGTTCCCAGCAAGAGGTATTATTTTTGTATGCCTTAAAAAAAACTTTTTCCCCTTGGAGGAATTTTCTTTTTGTTGTCTAGGACTGTGTTGCTTGTTTTGTTTTACTTGGTAGTAATTTATCCAACGCTGATCTGATTTTCCTAGCAAACATGACTTCTGCTGGTGATAATGTTGATGGTGTCGCATTATTTGGCGTTATTCTATATACCTGTAGGAATTGCTGTAATGCTTTCTCCGTAGGCACATCGTACGCTTTTCGTAATGCTCTTTTGAGAGTATCCACGAATCTCTCCGCTTGTCCATTTGATCTTGGATGGTAAGGCGGGGATTTTATATGCTTTACTTGATAGATTTCGCAAAACTCTTGGAAATCTGATGATGTGAATTGCGTTCCGTTATCTGTTACTAAACAGTCCACTACGCCAAACCGAGCGAATAGCTCGTGGAGGAAATTTATGGTCGTTTCTGTAGTAGGATTTTTGCACCGAAACACCTCCGGCCATTTACTGTAGCTATCAACTATGATTAAATAGTAGAACCCGTCAATTGGTCCTGCATAATCTGCGTGTATTCTTGACTATGGACGATCAGTTTCAGGCCAAGGCTTATGTATGATTGGCGGTGCTTTGGCTGCTAAATTACAACCCTTGCACATTTCCACCATATGAGAAATATCCTGGTCCATATTCTTCCAATATACATAGCTTCGCATTAGCGACTTCATTCTATTTTTACCCGGGTGTCCTCTGTAGAAATCCTTTAGTATCCGTTTTTGTAAAGTTTTAGTGATTACAACCCTTTCGTTGTAAAGTAGCACATTATCCCATAGAGAAAAGCTGTCCGAAATTTTCTCATTTTTTTCTGCTATATTTGCTTTTGTTTCATTAATAAATTCGTCATTTTTGACTTCATTTTTTATGTCTTGCAATGTGACTGGGAGGTTTCTGACTGTACAACATAGTACTGTTCTTAAGTCTTCTTCATTTCTAAGAGCTGCGATTACCGTATCTTCCAATAGCTCTGTCTTTGTTGGTATAAGTCTCGACAGACCATCCGCGTGCTCGATTCTTTTCGTTGGTAAATATTCCAATCTGAAATTATAGTTCAGAAGAATCGTTCCTCATCTAAGTAGTCTATTTGCCGTGTACACCGGTAGACCTTTTTTTGAACCAAAAATTTTTATTAACGGTTTGTGATCCGTCTGCAGAGTAAAGTGTCTACCATAGACGTATCTACGGAATCTTGTTACTGCGAAGGTAATTGCTAGAGCTTCCTTCTCAATTTGAGAATAGTTTTTCTCCGCTGGTAGTAGGGTTCGAGAAGCATGTGCGATAGGTTTTATTGTCCCATCTGGCATTTTATGTAATATACACGCTCCGACACCGTAGGCGCTCGCATCACTTGCTACAATAATCTCTAGTTTAGGATCATAGTGTGCCAAAAATAAATCCGATGTTAATATCTTGATTATTTTTTCAAATGTTTCCTGGCATTGATCTGTCCACTGCCAAACCTTTTCTTTCTTTGGCAGTTCGTTCAATGGTGCGCGAAGTTTATGCATTTGAGGTATGAATTCCTGGTAGTAATTCACTAATCCAAGAAAACTTTGTAGTTCTGTTATGTTCTTAGAAACTGGCATCTTTTTTATTGCTGTAGACCTTTCAGGGTCTGAACGTCTACCTTCTGGGTCTATTATATGGTCAAGATATTTAATTTCCTTCATGAAAAAATCACATTTTCTTTCACTTTGAATCCGTAGCTTTGAATTCTCTTAAACACTTCTTGTACATGTTGCCAGTGTTGTTCAACGCTTTCGCTATTAATCAATATGTCATCCAGATATGCTATTGTGTATTCTAGTCCTGCCAGCATCGTATCCATTGTCTGCTGGAAAATAGCCGGCGCTACTTTAATTCCAAATGGTAGTCTTTGGTATCTGTACAATTCCTTGTGTGTGTTTATGCATAGTAGTTTTGAACTTTCTTCATCGACTGGAATTTGCAGGTAGGCCTCACTTAGATCAATTTTTGAAAAATATTTTCCGCCATTTAATTTAGTGAATACTTCTTCAGGACTAGGTAGCGGATAGTGGTAGTCCTTTATTGCTGCGTTCAAACTTGTAGAAAAATCAGCACGCAATCGAATTTCTCCTGATTTCTTTTTAACGTAGGCCGTCGGTGCGGCCCATTTGCTGTACTCTACTTTTTGCAATATGCTCGTATTTTCAAGTCTAGATAATTCTTGGTCAATCTTTTCTATTGACACAAACGGTACACTCCTTTTTTTCTTGAAAATAGGTTGAACGTTATCCTTTATTTTAATATTAGCTGCCATTTTCTTGCATTTTCCGAGACCTGCCGAAAATACTTCGGGGAAACTCGTTTTTAGTTTTCCTTTTAATTTGTCTGCCTCGGTTGATAAGCTTTTTACATTTTGGCAGTAGGTGATAATAGGTAGATACCATAATTCGAATTTTTGCATCCAGTCTGTCCCGAATATGTTTTCGGTATTTCTTAAGACGTACATTTTTAGTTTTTTCGTCATTCCATTAAATGTTACGTTTGTGGTTATTTCACCCTCGAATTTTATCTTTCTCCCCGTAACTGATCTCGCAATTTTATCCGTTTTTAACATGACAGGTTTGTTCAGTTTTCTCCATGTTTGTAGATTTATGATAGTTAAGTCTGAGCCAGAATCCAGCTGTAACCTAACTTTTCTGTTTTGCATTTCAACTTGTACATCTTTTCTTATATTAGTCTCATCTGTTTGGTCGGTCCTCGTAATTTTATTCTGCTTTTTTTCTATACCA